TTTGATACCGTCAACCAATTTTTAGCAATACATACAACTTTCTGTATATACCATCCGGTTTATTGAAAAGTGAATCAATAAATGTATTTATTGAATGTCTGCCTCGTTTCATTAAGGAATTTGAGGAAGGACCCTCAATTTGACATTCTTATATTTCTTTATATTTGGATCATGCATTTGTCTTGGTTTCCAAATTTAAAATGTGGTGAGTTCAGCAGATCTACCCCTCTTGTCAGTTCCCCTCTTTGTAGCATACCTTTCTGTGCTTCAGAAGCTGGAAAACTCAAACTACATGTCCCAGACACCTTTACTTGCTAATGTTCTGCATGCGAATTGCATACATCAAAACTAGGATGTACAGGTTCTGTTTTGATGCTGCTGGCAAATACAGCTGTGGAGACCTTGGTTTTTCTGCAGGGGTCACTTACTCTATCAGTATTAAAAGACTGGAATGATTAGGGTAGTAGTTTCCTGTTTCTATCTTCCTGATTGTGGCCATGAGCCCGTTTGTCAGTGTTATTTAGCAAGTTATGCTCGGATGCTAGGCCTTCTCCAGCCTTTTCCATTATTGTGAATGTCCCCAGATTGCCCAGATAGATCCTTTTCTGTCTAGTGTAGCAAGCTGCTTAGTGCACTGTGTCCTGATTGACTTGTAAAAATGCTTTTGGGGCAGGAACCCTGTGATATAAAGAAATTCGTCCGGGATCCCCAGGACCATTAGGGAAAACCCGGTCCGGAGAGTCTGACTGGCCGCGGTAGGTGTGTGCGCGCTCTGGAGGGAAGTAAAACCCCTTGTGGAATTGGTGCCCGAAAACGCCTGGTGGACGCACCATGAAGGCCACGGGCAGGAGGATCAGAAGACGTTCTGACCTCCCGGGAGGGCCCGAGAGGGACCCTGATGGGGAGAGGGATAAGCCTCTCCCAGGACGAGGTGAGCGGCGTGAGCCGTTGCCTCACCTGCGGAAAGTGAGCCTTTCCCAGGTCTGAGTTTGGTATCTGTGGGCGACATGGCGCCCCAGGATGGAGCCGGCAAAGTGTGGCCGGCGTGGTGGTGCGGGGCCCCCTGGTGGCATTGGGTCAGAGGGGGGGCTCCCTCGGGGCTCAGTCTGCGCGTTGGAGCGTGGCTGGGCAGTGGTGGCCTCGCTCGGGGAGCAGGCACCTGGGTTAATTTGCTAGTGGAGCCGGGAAGCCGCTGGGGCGACCCGCGCTTTCTCCTCCGGGGCTGCCTGAGTAGCGTGGCTGGGGCTGCGGCCGAAGCAGCCTCGCTCTGGGGGCCTGGGCCCTAGGGGCCCGGGCCAGCATGGCCTGTGCCAGCGTGGAGACATTGGTCCCTGGAAACATCAGGTACCGGAGAAGAGCTCAAGGGCAAATCTCTGTGCTCAGTAAAGAGAAAAGGCCAGTTCAAAACGAGTGCGCATAATTTTGGGCTGTGCTTAAAAACACTTTTCTGGGTACAGAATAAGTTTTAAAAGTGGTGGAGATAAATTAAAACTGGTTTCCCAAGTCATTGTAAGCAGCTTTTGAAATTCCCCGCCATGAGGAACTAGACAGTAATGGCTGAGAATCTTCAGGTAAAGAATGTGTTCATTTGCATTTGAATGCTGCTCCAGCTTCAGGGAGTGGCAGGTGATTGGTGGTGAAGCAGCCCACAATGGTTAGTCTTCCTTGTCATTGGTATCAGCTAAGCAGAGTCATATAGCTACTTAAGTATGAATTGTGATTGACCTATGATTTTCTGACATTGTCTTAAATCCTAGTAAACTACCTCTGGTGTGGAGAGGTCTAGGGGAGGCCGGAGAGCGCAAGACTATTAGCTCTCCTACAAAGAGATTATTCAGTGTTTTGTTTGAACTTCAGAAAAAAATTTTGAGATCTGAAAAAATTGTATGATTAGATCTGTTGCTGAAACTTTACCCTAAATAAGCAGGATGTATTAGAAATGTAATGTTATTAATCTAAGAAATGCCAAATTTATTTGACTTGCCAGCTTTAAAAGTTCAAAGTATAAGTTGAATTAGGAAAAGTTAATTGCAGTAACTAGATGCCTAGAATATGTTAAGAATAAGCAGTAATGATCAAAGATCTCAAGGATTGATTTATTCTCATTTGTCAGATGAAAAAGTATGTAATGCTTACACTTAAAAAAATTATTTTAAGTCAGTGATGCAGTATTTTTTTAAGTCAGTTTTTCTAAAGTAATGTTTAATGTAACATATGAAACTTTTATATATTTGATTTGTTTTGTTTTGCTTTTCTCATATGCCATTGTTGTTGAATTTGGGCTTGTACCTGCATCTTGTATTTTGTTTAAACTTTGGTAATCATTTTTGGTTTCAGTCATGTGTATCTACTTTATAGATTTAAGTAGACTTCATCACAAAGGTTTATAATTTATTTAGAATTGTGTTAAAACAATGTGAAAACAATTATTTGTATGATTAACCCCCCGAGACTGCTTGGACAATTTTCACCGATGTTCTGCAGTGGGGAGTAGAGGGGCTTAGAAATGTAGATAAATCTATATCTGTAGGGAAAATGTGGCATTTTACATTTCAGGTGGTTGTTAGAGGCCTGGGAACAGGTACTGGACCTGCTCCCTCCCTTGCCTTTAAAATTTGAGGCATGGTTATGTATTTTTGAAAGATAAGATTTTTATAAAAATTATAAAGATTATGTCTTGACAGGTTAGCTAGGAGAGGCAAGCCTGTTAGTTTCCTGATGGGCATGGGGGCACCCTATTTAGTCTTGAGAGAGCCAATAGGACCCGTACATCAGCCCAGGAAGCCACCGGACAAACTGCCTGTTTTCCTTGGACATCAAGAAGGACTGTGGTCCTCGGCAGGAACACGTACTGGGGGAGTGCAGCTGTTGAACTGGTCCAAAGTGGAACAACGGATCTTTGAGGAGCTAAAGAAGGCTCTCATCTCAGCAGCTGCCCTAGCCTTGCCGGACGATGTGGAGCCCTTCCACCTCTACGTGAGTGAGGTAAGAGACATTGCCAAAGGGGTTCTCACTCAGACTCTAGGTCCCTGGAAGAGACCTGTTGCTTATCTGTCTAAGAGACTGGACCCTGTGGCAGCCACAGCATTGCTGGTGAAGGAGGCAGATAAGCGGACTCTGGACCAGGAGCTAACCTGGATGGGCCAGGCTTTTCTCCTGGACCAGCCCTGTGTCCAGATTCATAAAACTCTGGCCATCAACCCTGCCAGCCTGCTTCCAGATGATGATGATGGAACCCATTCATGACTGCACAGAGGTAACAGACGACAAGGTACTGTTCACGGATGGGAGCAGTTATGTTCAGGATCGGACCTGATATGCAGGGGCAGCAGTAGTCACCCTGGACCACACCATTTGGGCACAGTTCCAGAACTTTTGGCCTTAATCCAGGCCCTTTGATAGAGACACTGCCATCCACAAAGAAAAGAGGGTTACCAACTGCAGCCAGAAGGAATTGGCTGACCAGAAGCAAGCCACTGAAGGACCAGATGGTTGATGGACCCTCCAGATGACAAGACTGTTGGTCCCAGAGGCTCTAGGTCAGAGTTGCCCGGTGACACCAGGTTAAGTGTCACCAAGACTTCTGAACATCTGTGAGGCAGAGTTGCTAGAAGTACTGTCTGTGCACAGGTAAATGCTAAGCAAGGTAAGGGGATCCCCCCTGGGAATTCAGGTCCCAGGGAACCTCCCCAGGAGAGCATTGGTAGGTGGATTTCAGAGATTAAACCACCAGCATTAAGGTCTAGTTTTTATAGACACTTCAGATTAGGTTGAGGTATACCCCACTATCAGATAACAGCCCCACCTTGGTAGCTAAGGTATCTCAGAGTATAGCTCTAGCCTTAGGACAGATAGGTGCGACTCGGGAGGAAGGGGGTTTAACTAAATGTGTCTTAGAATCGGTGAAAATTGGACCAACCCCCTGTCCTTTGCCCTCTTGAGGGCCAGGTGTACCCCTTACTGGGATAAGTTTCCCCTTTTTGGGAGGGGATCATGTATGGTAACCATTTCCTTGCTCAAGTTCTTACAGGCTCTGCAGTTTGCTTGTTCCAGATGCACTGCCAGTGCCTACCGCAGACCCTGTAGCCCCGGAACTCAATGTGGGTAAAGAAATTTGCTGCCCAAGGACTCAAAGGGATGCTGCACTGTTATCCTGAGCACGCCCACTGCTGTTGAAGTAGATGGCACCCAGACCTGACTACATGACTCCCAGCTCCTGCATGGCCTGGATCCTGGCAACTACAGGCCAGGAGGAGAACTGGTGCCTGCAGGAGGGGAACTGGACTTCAGTGAGGACAATACTGATGGGAACTGTGGTACTAAGGGTCTTGGTAACTATTTGTTGTTTATGATGAAAGGAAGTAGGCTGAGTCAATGATTTGACTAGGCACATTAGACAAGGGGGGAATGAAAGGGCAGGGTGGGGCGAGGATGAGCTCCCAACTCCGTGGGGCGGAGTTATCCCTAGCCCTCAAAACCCCTGGACTGGGAGAAATTCGCTCTCTTCTGCCATGCTGCCGGCGTGAGTGGGGGAGCCTATGCTAGCATGGTGAAGGTTCTTTTGCTTATTGCATCGGACTCGGCTCCCTGGTGGTCCTTGGGGATCACGAAGTCTGGGCATAACACTTGCATCTTATCTGGAGTGAAACAGATGATAAATAAATGATTAAGTATAAGTTTCAGTAAGATATTTGAGTGCTACAGATAAAACTAAAGTTGGTAAAGGGGGTGGGAGTGCAGGAGATGGGTGTTGAAATTTTAAATAGAGTGGTCTTGGTCTTGGAGAGCCTCGCTAATATTAAAAAAAAAAGATTTATGAGACCTATTACTTCAATTGTGGGCAAGGCCGAAGTGTAGTTACTGTGTTAAAAACGCAGTTACTCAGTTATTTTGTTCTCAGATAACCCCTCTAAGTAAGCGGCTGTTATTTACCCACAGCAAACATGGCGGACTAGGCTTCAGCCGGGCACTTTAGCCCGCAATAAAGATGGCCGCAGCACTTCCTGTGTTTGCCCTCAACAAAGATGGCGGCGGCGCTTCCCGGCCCCGGTTTTTGCCTTCAATAAAGATGGTGCTTGTGGTACAGGTCCCCTGACAGTCTGGATTCCGGTTGCAGTTTTGTTTATTTTATTTTTTTTAAAGATACGTGTCCGCAGACGTAAGTAACAGGAAACCAGGAGCCCGTACCCCTCTTTCCTCCGGGGGCCCGCGCCCCGCGCCTGTGGCCGGGGGCCTCCCGGTCCCGCGGCGACCCGAGCCAGGCCAATTAGGGCGGCGATGGGGGTGCCCAGGTCAACCCAAGTCCTCTCTTTCTAGCGGCTCAGGTAGCCCCGAAAAAACCTCTCGTCGCCCCCCGTTTTCGTGACACCACAGGCGTCAGCGGCTGAGACAGGATTAGAAGTCGCTCCGCCGGCGGCGGCAGAAGCGCACGCCCCTCACCTAACGGGTCGCGGAGTTCACTCCTGCGAGTCCTTCTGCTCCCCCCGACCCGCTTCCCCCTCCCCCCTCCCCCCTGCCCCCTCCCCCCTCCCCCCTGCCCCAAGCTCTCTGCAGGGTCCGGCCATGTGCCTTTGAACCCTGCGTAGCCGGGCGTGTAGACATTTTTCTTTTTCAGGAAAAGAAATCCCATTGAATGCCCCCTGCCCGAGTGGTCATGGCCGTGTAGCGATGGCGATTTCGAATTCTTTGAGGGAAGGGATGGCATCTCTGACTCCATATAAGTTTTACAGTAGACTGGATACGAACCCTTACATATTACTCTTGAAGGTGATAGTGGATAAGCCCTTTTCTCCTAGCCCAGTGGTGGGCAAACCCATTCGTCAACAGAGACGGATATCAACAGTGCAACAATTGAAATGTCTTTTGAGAGCCAAGTTTTTTAAACTTAAACTTATTCTAATGCCACTTCTCCAAAATAATCTCGCCCAGGCCGTGGTGTTTTGTGGAAGAGCCACACTCAAGGGGCCAAAGAGCCGCAAGTGGCTCGTGAGTTGCAGTTTGCCCACCACGGCTCTAGGGTAAGAGATCCTTCAATGTATGGGCACCTGCCCGTGTCTGGTCCCTACGCCCATGGCTGATCAGGCTCTGCCAATGCCCATGTGCCGCGCGCACACACACACACACACACACACACACACACACAGGCAGTGTCTGCCGAGGTGGGGCAACGCTGCCGAAGGCAATGCTGAAAACCTCCCCACTGTTTCTTCTCAGTGATGTTACTGAAATGTCGCTCTGTAATTCTCGAATAAAAGTTGCTTTTTAAGCAGGGTCTCTGACCCACTTTTCCCCCAAATCTGTTAATAGATGGAGAAATTGACCCCCTTGTGTGGGAGGCAAGGACAGGACAAATGGTTCATGTTCAGTGTTGCTAATTATTTTCAGAAACACTTGAAATTAATTAATTAACACAGCCTTGTGTTAAACACCGGGGCCTGGCACTCTGCTAGGGTTCAAAGGATGTCCATGTCCTTAAGGAGCTCATATTGCAGGGAGGTAACTTTCCTGTCATCTGAACTTGCGTTTTGTCTCTTCCCAGGGGGAAATGGAGGCCAGAGACAAGCAAGTGCTTCGCTCCCTTCGCCTGGAGCTGGGTGCAGAGGTGCTGGTGGAGGGACTGGTTCTTCAGTATCTTTACCAGGAAGGGGTCTTGACGGAAAGCCATGTTCAAGAAATCAAAGCTCAAACCACAGGCCTCCGGAAAACAATGCTGCTGCTGGACATCCTACCTTCCAGAGGTCCTAAAGCATTTGATGCATTCCTCGATTCCCTTCAGGAGTTTCCCTGGGTCAGGGAGAAGCTGGAGAAGGCGAGAGAAGAAGCCATACCTGAGCTGCATGCAGGTAGGCATCGACAAGATTACTTCAAACCAGCTCCCAAATTGTTGCACTATGGCCTTTGGATTTGAAGTTGAGGTTTCAGGCTAGGAGGGGATCAGCAGTTCGCGAAAGTGGGTAAGGTGTTTGGACTGAAGCCGTGGCATTGCAAGGATGGGATGAAGAGGTGGCATTAGGAAGTTCTGGGCAGGAAGGAAGAATGAACCATAATGGAGAGGGTGAGGAGGGAGCTCAGAGAATATATTTAGAAATGCTTCCAGGGAAAGTTGGCAAGTCACTTGGGAGACCTGTTCTCATCTGAGAGCCATGTCATATCTCGGCCTTTGACAACAGGAGCCATTTGGAAGGTGCAGGTGGGAGAGCAGCGTTAGACCTCCTGAGAGTTGCTTCAGGAGGTGCCAGCCCTGCCTGCTGGAAAGGTCAGATTCCTGAAGGAGGAGGCAGCCTCTAGGAAGGCATGCCCTGCACCTGTTCCCTGGTCTGCCCTACATGGCCAAAGGGGATTGTTTGGAAGGCTGGCTTAATCTGTTTTTAAAGGTTATTGATGTAAAGTCATCCTTTTTAGTTTTGTTCAGGCACCCAGAGTATTTAACTTGTAAGGGTAGTAGTGCAGGGTCTCCTTTTGTTTTTTAAAAGAAGTTGGGAGCTGTGGAAAATAGAAATAGCCCTAGTGCCATTAACCTGGCTTGTAGCAGGAAGAAGATGTGATATGAAATACTTGTTTCTCTTAACAGCTCCCGTGATTTATGCTTTTTACAAAAATTGAGGTGCAGAAAACTGAGCTGCTAAAAAAAAAAAAATTAAAAAGTTGACTTGTAAATTTTTAACTTAGGAAATCAACATTCTCTGGAGTTTTTGATAGCAGTAATAGCCAGAATTTCTCCAAGTCAGTGGTCCCTAGCCTTTGTTATTATTATTTTTAAAATAGCAGTATATCTGGCTAAAAAGCAAACATGAGTAATAAAAGACCACTTTTATTGTTTTTGCCTTATGGGCCTCATATTTTGAATGATTTTTCCAGACCACTAAATGTCAATACGATAAATTTTTCTATTTTTATTAAATGACATATGTTTGAATATCTGATCACCATGAAATAACAGTTAACTGGGGAAGGCCTAGTAAAACTCCAGTGTAAAAAAAATTTTTTTTTATTTCTTTGCATAACCAAATGACAGGCAAATGTATATTTTATGCTCTTTGAAAATAGCTGGCCTTTAAAGACCACAGGAATTCTCAGGTTGGATTGACTTTATCCAAATTAAATACTTCATGTACAAAGCCTAATTAAAGTATCTAAGACATTTCTACCACTGCATTGAAAGCAGAATAAAAACAATGGAGAATTGGGAGAAGTTAAAAAATATTAGGGTATCTAATGTCTTTTCCTAGTATTTGACTTAGAGATTCCTTTTGGCAACACACAGTTGAAAACAGCAAAACAGGCAAACTGAAGGTCTCTTCCAACCAAAATATTTACTTTAATTTTATAATCGTTTGGGGTGATGTAAATAGTACTGCTGTATATTTTTAATAGTCATTGTCATTTCTTCAGATTCATTCAGAGAACAAGAAAAAAATTAAGATTTTTAAAAAAACAAATGGTGAAAATAACAGAGAAGTTGAGGGAAAAACAGTGTGTGTGTGTGTGTGTGTGTGTGTGTGTTTTAATTAAACAGAACGAAACAGCATAGAGTGGGAAAAATCTAGTGTATTTGTGTTGAAGTTTAGAAAAATAATGTTAGTTAGTTAATTATGTGGAAGTGGTCAAATGCGATGATAGGTTGGCTACTGCACAAATTAAATACTCTTGTTGACTCACACCATTACTGAAAAAAGATTCTGAAGAGAGTTTGATTTACATCAAATTAATTCATTTAAACACAAAGCTAACAGCCTCAAAAAGAGGAGGTTGTTAACTAACAACTCCCTTAAAATAATATCATTTCCTCCATCCCTTACATATACATATAAAATTATGGCATAGTGAGTTTTCTCTATGTATTGCCTACAGTGACAATTACATAAACTTACATTCTAAATAGTTACTGTTAATTATTCAACATTTTAAGTAGGATTACAAAATATAAATAAGGCATGAAGAATAATGGTGCAGTGAACATCTTTATCCCCATCACTGTTACAAAAAGATACTACCATTGCCTCTGAGGACTTCTGGCTGCTCCTCCCCAACCCACTTTATCCTCAACCCCTGCTCCCTGAGGGACCTGAGTTTGGAGTCTATAATTTTCTTTTTCACTTTGTAGGTTTCCATTTTATAGCCACTTTAAAAATCTACATACATTATAGAAAACTCACTATGCCATAATTTTATATGTATATGTAAGGGATGGAGGAAATGATATTATTTTAAAGGAGTTGTTAGTTAACAACCTCCTCTTTTTGAGGCTGTTAGCTTTGTGTTTAAATGAATTAATTTGATGGCAGTATTTTAATTCTAAAATTAAATTGGGATTACTTTGAAATCTTTTTTAAGTCTTAGAAAAAAATTAAAATTAAAGAGCCTTCAATTTAATGTCCCTATAAAAATGTGAATGAACCCACAGGCCAATTTCCCAGGACCTCAGTGTTTCTTCAGTGTTGTAATAGAGTAATTTTAATAAGCTTTTAAATAGTCCATTGAAAGTTCTGTAAAGGCATTTTGAATTCTGAAGAACGAGGCTGCAGGAAAATGATGTATATACATCACTATCCTTTTATAATAATTTTGGTTGTAATTATTAATTAATTTGTATAGAAAAGAATGGTTTTCTCTTTGGCCAAGAGGTAGGTCTTTCTCCAACAATGAGCTGATTTTATTTTATTAAAAGTTTTCTTGTTCTGGTCTTCTAAGAGATTCTTGGTTTCCCCTTTGTTAGATGAATTTTTGTATTTCACTTGTAAATTTTGAGCTGCCTCAAAGGCCTTATTTGGTGATTGATCCTACTTAGTTCTTTTTATTTATGTTCTGGAATTAAACCTTTGATTCTCTCAGAATATGCCTAGACAACTGGTCTCCCTAACTCTGTTAATAAAACTCTAAGATGTTAATAGAAAATTGATTTTGTGTTTTTCTCACCCTATAAGGACTCATATTTTAAAAGAGAATTCTGGCAATAAAATGACGTAATCCAGCTTGGCATCGTGGCAGGAACACTTGACAGTGTATCCCTTACTGCCCAGTAGACATTAGATCAGCTGAAAGTCGTCTCGGGCTCCTGTCAGGTCATTTAGGAGATGAGTATAATGCTGAATTTGGGTAAGGCAGCGTGGGCCTGCCTGTCTGCCTTCCTACTACTCATGGGCTCTGTCTGCACTGAAGCCTCTCTCCAGTGCCTGAGCTAATCTGGATCTACAAAGGAGGTTTATGGGCAGCCCCAGTCTCACTTGTTGGTAGGACTTAACCTAAGCCATGGTAGGCGTGACTTCTGGGCCCCAGGACTTCCTGTTCCATTGTGTTGATTCTGGCTGTGGGACTGGGTTTCTGTCATGATTCTCATGTAATAGTCAGCCTGGCAACCCTGCCTTTACCCCAGTCTTCCTTTAGGCTTGGGAGTTATTTTCCTCCTCTCTAAGCTAGATTCCTGCTTCATGTTCTCTTAGCCATTGGCAAGAATATCTTGGAACACAGCTCTGTGCCGCCTGTGTTAGCATCAGATGCCTCATTTCTTTAGCCTGCTGGAGTGGCTGACCTGGGGTGACATTTGCTTCAACCTTGCCTAAGCTTGAGCTGGTCCTTGCCATGGACCCTGCGCCCGAGATCCTTGGCTGCCATCATTGGAACAAGATACAGGGCTGACCTGTTTTTCTTCTACTTATCAGATCCAGGGCTCAGCCTGTCCCTCTGGAGCTGACATTGCCTGATCATGTATAGAGAGCTACACTGGTCACTGTCTCGAGATGCACTCTGGCTCTCACATATATAGTTACTGATCAATAATGGCAAAAATTTTAGGCATTATTATAGGTTTATTAGAGAGATTTCTAGCCTGGAATTTCCAGTCATACCATGTCTTGACCATACTCTGCATAAGTTCAGGGTTGGCATCAGTTTATCTAGCTTGTGGTCTATCCAAGTACTTCTGTGTCTGAGTAGAGTTTACTTCATAGCATTGTGTGTACTAGAGAGGGCATGGTTTGTGAACATTCACAGCAAGACCCCTTCTTGTGGTAAGAGCAGAATCTACAGATCTCTGTGTATCCTCGGCATGATTATCATATCTTCTGAGCAACAGTGAGGTGCCAGGTACTAGGTAAAAAAGACACATGAAGGACCTCCGGATCAACTGAGGGGATTCGTTTGTTCGTTCATCAAATAATGAATATTGATCATGTGCCAGACATTAGGTGCTAGGGATATTATAATAAACAAAGCCCCTACTCTTATGAGCTCACTATACTCTCCAGTCCAATGGGACAGAGACCAAGCAAATGAATACATAATACAGTCGTGTGCCACATAACAACCTTTTGATCAATGGCTGATTGCATTTTCAATGGTGGTCTCATAAGCTTATGAAGGAGCTGAAAAATTCCTATTGCCAGTGATGTCATAATTCATAGAGCAACACATTACTCGGGTTTTGGTGGTGATGCTGGTATCAACCTACTGCTGCCTGTGCTATAAAAGGATAGCACATATCATTATGTACAGTACATAGCACTTGATAATAAATAACTATGTTACTGACATATATTTATTGTACTGTATTTTTTTCTCATTCTTTTAGCATGTAATCTTTCTACTTATTAAAAAAATTGTGCTGTACGATAGTGTGCTGTGTTACGCTGTCAGCAGGTTCATGCACCTCATGTTTACCACATCTCTTGATTGCATCATTTTCTCTTGTACTTGATTAAATCTCATGTTGTTTGTACAATAACACGCTGTACAGGTTTGTAGCCTGGGAGAAATAGGCTGTACTGTATAGCCTACGTGTGTAGTAAGCTATGCCATCTAGGTTTGTGTAAGTGCACTCTATGCTGTTCATGAAATGACAAAATCA